GTACTTCCTTTCCGCCGTTGCCGGTGGGTAATGCTCATGAAAGGCTTACCCATGCTTACCATGCCAAATGAGCCCAATCGTTGTGGACGTGTAATTAATACGTAGAAAAGGCAATTGTTTACACAAATTAAATTACAAACTAATTACACACTTGTCAATTTATTATTGCTTCGAAATATGGTAATGAATACTTGCAGTTAAGGACATAAACATCATCAATACAATGGATAGGTTTCGATAGTGTCATGCGGTATATGAAATTATTCGATTTTCATATCATTTGAAAGTTTAAAAAAATAACAAAAACGTTATAAAAATTAAAACTGTAAAGACCGACTACTGATTATAAATATCCACTAAATGTATTATGTTAAAGCACACTCTTCGTATGTGGATATAACCTTTCAAAAATGTTAATGCTGCTTAAAAAATACTTAATATTTTTTTAGATAAATCAATACTATGGATTTAGAAATATTACATTGAACTAGCAGCCTTGTGCACCAAAGCTCACCAGGGCACAAATATTTATACTTTCTGATACCAGTGTTAGTAAGCAAGACCTAAAGAAATACCTTAGCGGTAGCAGTTCGAAACATCAACGCAAGTACAGCACCCTTTGAGAGGGATAAAAATAGAAGATAGAATTATAGACAAGCATAAATGTACATAAATTAGAAATCGAAGTCTAGAATCACAAATAAAAATGGATTGTGTATGCACAACGAAAATTATCTCATATATCTCATAGTTGTCTGTTGTGATACTCCTGTTCGTACTAGCTTTAAAGATAGAACTTCTAAACTCCAAACGTACGAACAGCGTCCTTTAAGAAGACGACGAGCTTTAGAGAGTTATATATGATTATGAAGAATGTAACCTCGAGTATAAGAATTAGAAAGTGAAGTCGATAAGAGCAAATGAAAATGAATTGGGTATGCACAGTGGAAACCATCTCATATACCATTGTAATGTAACTGTTCTTATCATATTTGAGGGCAAAAGTTCTAAGAACCCTCCCTCCAAGCCCTCCAAGTGTTTACTACGATATCTACTTTTTCCTAAATACATGTATTCATATCTACCTCCAAGAATACAAAATATCCTGACAAAAATTACGTAAATGCAATACTGTTGTGATATCTCATTGAGGCATTGATACCTAATTGTAAGAATTTTAATATTATCTGGCCATCTGTAATACGATTATACCATTTTAAATGGCTTATGAAATTAAAGCTCGAGTTTGAAAATGAAGGTGAGTATATACATACATGTTAATCGCCAGGTTTTTAAAAAAAGTCACTCTCTCCATCTTGCAATTCAGACTGATATTTGAATTAAACTGTAAAGTGACAGTTCCCCAGTCATTTTATAAAAACATTTACATAATTTTTTTAAGATATGCAAGTAACTTAACAATAGTTCAACTAATCAGAAACACATTAATATTAATTTATATTTGATTTCTATTGCTTATAATATTTATTAATCTAATATTTTATTTAAAAAATCTATTTACAGCATTTTTATACAAAAATCACATATAATAATCAGGTGGTGGAAAATTATCTGGACGTCTATTGTTATTCGAACCAGGAGGTGGAAATAAGTCGGGATTTGGATTGTTATTCGAACCAGGCGGTACAAATAAGTCAGGATTTGGATTTTGGTTAGGATTTGTGTTGGGATTAGGAGGAAATGGCCTTACATCTGGAACAACAGGGTTAACTGGATCGAAACGTGGACCTTGTACTGGACGGAAAGGCAATGGCATAATACTACCAGGACCCCCACGTGCAAGCGGATCCAAATCTCCCCGTCCAACCCCTAGCGGATTAAATGGGTAACGCGAACCGACATTTCTTTTAAATAAAAAATTATTAATTAATTAAACAGTTAAATACTTAATCAAAATCAAAAAATATATTATAGTTAATAATTTTTTTTTGCAAACACAGTAACAGAGCACTGTTACTAACATACTAACAGTACAAACCGGCAATAACAAAATACATTTACCCGAGATCATGAATACCTCTATCTTTTTTAAAAAGCATTACCTCAAAATTGGGGGATTATGAACTGGTTGAATACTTCTTCTATCAGTAGTATTGATTTGAGAATTGTTAGGTTGACTATTATTTGTACTAGTTGGTGTTTCATTTGTTTGTTGAGATGTAGTATTCTTATTAGGAGGTTTGAATACCTTGAAATTAAAATAATGAACATGCAACAAATTACTTTTGTAACTATTTTTAAACTTACTGGATCAATTAATTCCTTCTCATAGCGATTGCATATAAAAGTTGCCGTTGGAATTAATTCATTTATATTGATTAATTTAATATCATTTACTACTGTGTTTGGTTCTAACATTATATTAGAAACCACTTTCGACTGAGCAACAACTAAATTTATTATTAGACTCTCCTCAGATATGACACCCAATAGTACATATAACTTATTATGTACTAAATATCTCAAAGCATATTTAGTCTCATCTTGATTCCAGTCATTCGGTAATGTTTCAGAACCAACTTCTTCATTAGAAAACGACATCTATTAAAATCAAAACTTTAACAATTATACATTATTTCTTATGAACTAAAATCAAAATTCCTTACTTTATCTCCATTGCCAAGACATCGGAAATCAAAGTTTTTTGTTAATACAAAATGAGCCTGAAATAAAAAAAATTTAATTTTTGCTAATTTTATATTCTAAAAAACCTGATTTAAAAATATCAACTATATTTTATAACTAATAATTATAATTAAATTTACAAAAACAAATATGTATAAATTTTACACAAAGATAGTTGTACTAAAAGAATTGTAACACCGCTCATGCTAATCAAAGAAGATAATCCTGATCTTGACCTCAAAAGCCTTAAAAAATTGGTGAGAAATGTTAAATAAAGGTTATTAAATTCATGATAATCTGAAACAATTTCACAATTTTAAATTCCAAATGCTTAGATATGAATATGGAGAAATTATTGAAATGACATCAAAAATATTTAAGTGCCTTTATGTCGCACACAACAAATGAACTCTGCAGGAATGGGCAAATATGTGTACTATTTCAGAGAATTCTAATCTGTTTCTGTAGATGAAATCGAAAATAAACGCTAGCTAGGAGTAGTTAAGATGATGTAGTTCTGTTACATATCAGGTTATTTTCTTATGCATGATCACATATATAGTACTTTTAATTGCTCTTTAAGTCCGGTTTAAACAAAAAGTGGTGCGCATTAATTTTTTTTTTTTATGTTGTAGTGTCTTTTCCTAACACCGAACTAAAAGGGCTCTGAAAAAGCGTTAGTTTTAACCAAAGTTAGTTTTAAGTAAAAACCTAAATAATTGATTATTGATTATAAATATGAAGAACGCATTTTCTAATTCGGCTACATTAATCCAAAAGTTTTGAACTAACTTGATTTATTAAAAAGTCAGGAGAATAGATTATAACTCCTGTGCCCTCATCTTTTTTTGATAGTACACGCGTATCGTATGTCGACTTCAATATTTTTTTTCTTTTACTTACCAGTGCTATAAGTACATCTCCTTTTTTGTTAACTTTACCGACTATGCTATTATAAAATAGATTCCAGCCATAAAAATAGCTGTCATTAGTTTGATTAGAGATTGATTCAGCCATTTCTTTCCCTTTTATATTTATTGGAATATTTCTTTTGATTTGATCCTGTATGAATATCTTGACAATATACTGGAAATATAATTCTAAACGGTCATTTTGAATTTTGTAATATGAAATTACAAAAAAAAAAATGTTGAACAGTTTAGTTTTAGTTTGACATATAACAATAATTGCCTTTATATATAAAAATTTAATTTGGAATTTCGGTATACAATAATATCAAAGAGAATTGATAAAGAACATAAAACTGGTCTTTCATATTTTTAAAAAGAATGATCTTAAAAATCAGTAACCAGTTTGAAGCTAAGTGCACTTTGTCTGTATCCTGCCTTATCGACTAGTGCAAGTGACCACTACTAATGGCAAAATAGTATATGTCAAAACACTTGTCATTCAAATATATTTGTTTATAATTGATGAAATTTCAAAATTTATATTAGCTTATTATATATAACACCCATTTCAGTATTTATATATATTTAAAATAGTTTTTTAAATTTTAACAGAAATTTATTTGATATAAATATGACAAGTTACTTTGTTAATTAAATAAAAATCACTTTCAACCACCGACACAAATTTATGAAAAACTGCTGTTCCTGTTTAAACAGAAATTTATTTAAACAAATAAAATTTTAAAATTCATATATTTATAATATATTTATTTATAAATTAAGTGTATACAAATTAATAATTTTAGTTACACATATATATACATTTAATATAATTTATATAATTAAATTAATTTAATTAAAGATTGAATTAATGATTGAAACTAAATGCCTTGGAAAATATTTCTTTTTTTAAATCGAGCCACATTAAGACGTGGTTTCTGTTTGTTTTTTAAATTTTTTGTTTTATATATTTTTCTTACATATTGAAAATATAAAGCTTTTGAGTCGTTATACTTGGTTGAAAGGCAATTCCAAAGACGCATTATACGTTCCTCATCTTTTGCTATATATTGAACATTGAGCTCCAAATCATCTCCGTGTGAGTAACCGCTTATGTTAGCCATATTCGAGCCGGGAAATTTTTCAAAGTTCACATTACGAAATTTCTCTGCACAAAATGTAGACAAGTTATATGTATTGTAAGATTTACATTTATCAGTCAGTTCTTCGAGTGATAAGGTTTCTGTTACACCATTATCCTCACACTCTTTATTATCATTACAACTTACATTATTCACACCTTCAGCACTATTTTCCGCCTCCATATCTGTATTTGGTAGCTTCTTTTTCTTTAATTTTTTAACTTTCTGCTCAGTAGCTAAGGTATTTACCTCAGTTTCAACAGTTGAAATTATATTATTAATACCATCATCATTCATATCTCCTTTTTTTGATTTTTGCTTCTTTTTCTTTTTAGTTTCTTCACTGTTATTTTTTAATTTTAATATATTACTTTCTTCATTTTCTAAAGAAACAATTTTATTTAGAATTATATCTTGTTTTATATCTACTTGGTTTGTTTCTTTTAAATCAGACAAGTTTTGATTTTTATCTTTTTTCGATTTCTTTTTCTTGCGTATTGTATTATCTTCTATTGATATTTCTTCACTTCTAAACTCTTCGTTTTCCAAATTCACTTCAGTGTCATCAACTTCTTGTTTTTTTGATTTTTTCTTCTTCTTACGTGCTTTTCCTTCTGTACTTTCTATTTCTTCATCAATTTGTTTTTCCTGTTCCGTTATTAAAGTTTTTTTCGTTTCATCCACATCACGTTCTGCAAGTAAACCATCTTCACTTTTCCTCTTTTTTTTCTTGAATACAACCTCATTTTCGTCCGATTCATCCTGTAGTTTCTTCTTCTTATTTTTTTTTTTACTGCTCGACACCTCCATATTTTCAATGGTTTCATTCGGTTCTATTGTTTCTGAGCGTTCCTTAGACTTCACTTTAATTTCCTCGCTTTCTTTATCAGTCGATGAACTGCCATCTTCATTGTTAATATTAACTTCAACTTGCCTTTTTCTAGCATCCATTTTCTGTTTAAAATAATCACTAACAGATAGTCCTGTAGATATAATCAATGGATTCTCAAAAACCTCTTGTTTTTCTTTTTTAAATTTATTTTCATTCGCACCAAGCTGTTCATTTATATCTGCCTTTGGTATTTCTTCAGTTTCGTTACCTTTCTTACCAAATATATTTGCCAAATCCTTTTCACTATACTGTGTTAAATCTTTGCCTCTCGTAAATTTTTTATAATGAACTCGTGCTCTACTTTTTTTGGAACGCTCCTCTAACGATTGACCGCTAAGTTTTTCTTTTAGTTTTTTCTTTTCTTTTTGTTTTTCAGTTGCTTCCGTTGAAAAACCAAATCCAACACACCGCTCTTCTTCGGATCCACTCTCATTTTGTTCATTATTATTCTCAACGTCATCAGTATTTAGTGATTTTAAAAAACCATTGAAGTCTTCCTCATGTTGTGTCCACTGATCGTCGCGATTTTCATAGCCTAAGCCTGAAGCATCATTTTTAAATTGAACACGTACAAAATCCTTTGAACCATCTTCTTGCGCGCCAAGGCCTTTCTCTTTTGACCAACCCATCTTTTTTAAAATTTTTGTACCAAAACGTGAGTCATCTAAATTAAAAGATATTAATACAATATATTAAAAATTTAGAACTGAATATAAATATGAACAAGTTACGAAAAACAACTTACCATCGTAAAGCGCTTTACCGCGCGGAGTTAATGTGTACTTCTTTCGAAAACGTCTATCCGCCAACATTGACATTTTGATTTATTTGTAAATATTAACTAAACTTATGTTTTTATAACTTCAAACAAAAAAAAATTAGATGGATTTATAAAAAATTAAACTTAAAATTAAATAAACTAAACAAATCCGCAATATCAATAGCACGTGCAGACACTCAGCAACAACAACAGGGTTGCACTGCTACATATTTTAATAGAGTTGCCATTTGTTATAAAAGTGAATTATGCACTACAAAGCAGAAGGTATTTTATGTGCCACAAAGTATATGCGGTAGATACGTGTAAAAATTATATTTTAAAATAAACAAAGTATCTATAAATATGAAAATTATTAAAAATGAGAAATTAATACGAATTTTTATTATTATTGGGCTTAGGTCGTTAATTTAACTGTACACTTTTACACTGAAGATGGTCCACGAAGTAGACCGAAATATCTACCATATAACAAGTAATTTCTTAAAAAAATTAATAACAATTAAATATATTAATTAATAAGCAATTTTTATTTAAAAATCATTTTTAATTTTTATATGTTAAATTAACGACAATTACAATTAAATATATTAATTAATAAACAATTTTTATTAAAAAATCATTTTTAATTTTTATGTGTTAAATTAACGACCTAAGCCCAGTAATAATAAAAAAACGTATTGAATATTGATAGTAATATCAATTTATGGGAAATTTGCTGTAAATAGTTTACAAACACAAATGTATTAATATGTCTCATAGGAAATTATTAATATATAGATTTTGTCCACTTATTATTTATTGAAAAGAAAACTCTATGTAGATGTTGAAAACAACAACATACTGATATTTCTGCTCTATATTTCTTTTTGTTGCAATTCCGTTTTCTCTGGTATACCGATTTGACAATATATTTTAGTAGAGCCAGGGAGTTTTTCCATCACACTATATATCAATATACATCATCAAGATGTACAGGTTTAAAGTTGTGAGCTTATAACATTGAATACAGCAACAAAAACTACAATTATCATTTAGCCCCAAGCAAAATACGTAATATATAAATTGATTACGCTTAGCGACAAAACTAGTCTTTTTTATTGTTTGTTTTCTTGATTTAAACTGTTTATATAAATTTGGGTCTGCTGAGCTTAAATTTGCAACTCGTTTTTCTCCTAAACATTTAGGTCTGTGACAATAATAGACTAAAGCACAAAAGTCAAAATTTTAAAGAGTTAATAAAACATGTTGTGTTTAACAAACGCAAATTTCGTTCTGAAAATCGAAAATCATACTGTTTTTAGTTTCAGAAACAAAACATTCTTTAAACCAATTCTTAAATAAATTATTGTTACTCAATCCTACCTATATACAATCTATTTAACAGGACACTATTTAATATTCTTGCATTTCTAGACTCGGAATTAGAATAATAGTTTGTTTTAGGGAAGTTTTAAAAACATTCCGGCTCTAATTGCCATTTTTTTCTTTTATTATAAATATCATATTTTTTTAAAAGTCTTAACGTCTCAACGTCTTTTCTTTAAATGACAGATTGTTTTTGTATGACTTGCTGATTCTTCTTATTCTCACATCTCGTTAACATATTTTTTTATATTTTGTTTTTTTTTTCCACTAAACGGTCTAATATTTTCTTTAAGATCGAGTTTCGATTGTATGATGTCTTTCTGGAACTAATGTTAGTTTCAGAAATTACAGACTGTCAAATATAATTCATATTTTAAAAAAAAAGTTTTAATAGTGTATATTGTCTTTCTGAAATTAAGCTTCGATACTTTTTTGTAATATGTAGTACTGATTTTTGCATAGATCCAACAAAAACATTTACAAAAAAGTTGTTGGAGTTTGGTTCTTCTAAAACCAGTTAAAGGTTTTGATTTTAGTTACTGAAGAAATTATTATTTGTTTTCAAATTATAATGCATTTACTTAGGTTAGGTTAGGTTAGGTTATTAAACATAGGCCGTATGCGAGTTCGAGTAAATTGATGGTAAATTAAGGAAAATAGTAAATTATATAGGTATATCAACGAATGTTGGTATTTACCAGAATTTAGAGTAGGGTAAATTAAATAAAAATTAGGTAAATTAGTTGTTACCATTGTAAAAATTTTATATGATGTTTTATAAATAAATTTGAAAACTTTTTACCAAAAATTGTAAATAAGTACAATAAATGAATAAATAAATATTTACATAAGTACAGTAAAAAAAATCCCTTGGAAATTTCAATTTACTTTACCTCAATTTACTCGAACTCGCACACGCCCATAATATTGCAAATAATTTCCCTAAGTACACAAAAACATATAGACGAATGTAGAACAAAAAAAAATTTGATAATTTGACCGTATTATCATAATAATACGGTCCTTGTTACAATAATACGATCTCAAGTTTAAGTTTAGTTAAATAAAATTGTTTATGATATTTTTTGTTGCTAAAGATAGCTTTGGCGAACACAAAAGAAGAAAGCAAATTGAATAAATTTAGAAATTGAGAAGCAACTTCGCGGAGAACAGTTGTTTAAGCGGAGCTACGAGGAGAAGCAACAACTTTATTCCTTCCGAAATAAGTGCAAAAATTGTTAAATAAATATTTAATAATAATTAACATTTAAATTTATTTATCAAAAATTAAAGGTAAATATTGAAATTGTTTTATAATAACATAAATACAAAGCAATAAATTTGTTATTAACTTAAAAAGTTGTTATTATTATTAAAACTATAAAAAACTTATTTAAAACTTTTCTGAATATTGGAAATAGTGAAATTTTTACTAAAAATAAAAACTATAAGACGTTTTGCTGTTATAAATAAAAAAAACTTACGATTTCGAATCCCAAGAAAAGCAATTTGCATCGGTTTAAACACATAATAGTTTTTCCAAAAGTAAAAGTAAGCAATTTTTCTTTTATAAGGAAATTAGTGAAAAACCAACAATGTTTAAATTTTGAATTAAACAAACGATTAATAATAATCAACTAACAAAAACTAATAAAAAATGATTGGTTTTGTGAGTTTTATAATTTGTGCGACATCCAAAAAATGATTTAGAAGTAGCAGTTATTAGCACTAATAAAGTTTTTTTTTTCAGTAGTAATTATAACCAAAAATAATGTATAATATATAGAACATATTATTTTTATTATAACAAACGTTATATTAAATATATATATCCAAAAAATTCACTTACCAGTTATACACGGTGAAGTTAGAAGATGGTGGTGATCTACATTTTATTAGAAGTGCTAACCACTCACGAAATACAAGGTAAGAGAAATAGAAACAAAAATCAGTTGCAACGGATCACAAGGGCAAATAACCTGGAAGTGAAGAAACAGTTTGGTGCATTAACTTTTTACAGACTTGCCAAATAGAAACAAATATGTACATGTGTATATTATATATGTATTATATTATATACATAATAATAATACATAATAGATAATATATATATATATATATTATATTATAACTGCAAGCACGAATATTTTCATAAAAAAATTGACAGCGGTATATGTTTACACTTACTGTTTATAATTATTAAACATATTTGTACGGATTTTAGTACAAATTTATTGTGTTAAGTTAGTGTAAACGTACTGTAATATAAATTTTTCTACTTTTTATAATATACCATAATATGTATACCACTTCGCTGGCCGTAAATGATTAATATAGAAAATTTAAAACAAGTATTATATTTAATATTATTTTTATTTAATAGTTATTACCATATTAAAATCAAAATAGAAATAAGATATTATTCGATATACTGTAAATAACTATTTTAATGAAAAACTTAACATTATTTTAGTAAATCAAAATAAAAATTGTGATTTATTAATTTACAATAATATATCTAATGCATGAATAAGTAGTTGTCGCTGGCTGCAGTAGCCGATCTTTGACTGTAGTTCTACATTTTTGACTGCAGTAGCCAGTAACAATTACTTTATTGTGCGTTGGATAACACCAACATAATGCTAACACTCTCGATAAAGTTAAGATATAATATATCCCATTACTAAATTTTATGGTGATAGCTTCGAATTTACCTTATTTAATTGTAATATAATTTTTATTAAAATTAATTTTAAATATGTAAATAATATAAGCAATGAATATATATTAATTTGATATATACCAAATTTTAAATATTTCTAATCCACCCACGTATTTGTCTTATAAATTCTTTCATGTTATCTGTTTTTAAATTCCATCGGGTTATCACAATAACATCTAAACAAATAATTACTTTGTATGTTCTGTAATATCGCTTGGATATATGAATACTAATAATAGTAAGGCTGATTGATAGAAAATCAAAAAATATTGATTCCTCATCGATTAGCTGCGTATGTTTGTCAACATAGGTATATAACATCTATGCTGTATTCGCAAGTGTCTTTTACAAAACATAAACACTGTTGATTATTTAGTAATGGATATTAAAGAATATTTTTAAAATTTTTGTCGTTAATAATAATTCTTAAAAATTTATTAAATAATAATTCTTCCATTGACTGACTTTGATATAGACTATGAGAGTATTTTTCTGCTTTCATCAATCATTTTATGCATCTCATGAAATAAATGCAATTACTCGTTACACAAATAGAATAGCTACGCTTGTTAAAATAACCTTAAGTTTAACATCAATAGAAAAGCCATCAGCTGTTCAAAATAATCAAACATATGTTTGCAAAATTGTGTTTTCTTACTTTGTTTATTATATGTTAATTGTTTGTTTTTATAAGTAATTTCTATTTATTTGCATTTGAAATAAAACAAAAGATAGTGAAAATAATGAATAGTGCATTTAAAGCTGAAGATATCACTTTAAACGCACACCAATGGACGTTTGAAGGAGATTGTAAGTTACTGGAATGGATGAAGCAAATAACGGAGGTACATAAAATGCATTAATTAATATAATAATAATCTATTCATTTATTATTGTAATTTAATTTAGAACTTAGAAAGTAGAACAAACAAAACTACGGAAGCCTTTGATAAACTTAATGTAGATGTTAAACGCGCCAATATTGCCTTAGATAATGCAGCGAATAGTCTCACAGCATTACAATACACTCAGTTTGTGGAAAGTCGCTGTCATGATGATGATGAAACTATCGCCAATCAAGCAGAAGTTCCTATTGATTTGGTAAAAGTATGTATTTAAGATGATCACATATGTGATCACATACCAAACAAAGTTTTTTTCTCCGTTCTGTAACTGCTTGAACTGCACTACAACGAAGACTCTTCTGTAACGAAATTTGGACTATTTTATAGTAAACTCCGTTGGGTTATGTCTTATGAACATACAAATAGACTTTTTCATATTAAATAACGGATCAGTCTAAGAATGCACTTGATTACAATTTACAATTTCTTGAATTTAAAAATTGCATTGCTATTATTTTATCTATATAAAATAGATTTTTTGTAAATAACGGATCAGTCTAAGAATGCACTTGAATACAATTTACAATTTCTTGAATTTAAAAATTTCCTTGCTATTATTTTATCTACATAAAATAGATTTTTGTCATAGGATAATAATAATAATTTTTTAATTAAGTATCAAATTTATTTAAATACAACGTAATTTTTTAAGTATATTCAAAATACATTTATGTAGATTTATAGAATGCACTAGACAAGATAAAAAAATATTGGTACAATAGTTCCAATTCCTACCCCTCAACTTGATTACACTTTAAATGCATTTTTTTCAACTTTTAACTATAAATCCTCTAGTAATGAAAAGAGCCTAGCTGTATACTAAATTACTAAGTGCAATGACACTCTTAATTTGCTTAAATATTTTAACTAATTTATTTATTTACAGTCAGACAACGAACCAAAATCCTCAACTGAAGTCTTTAAAACTTTTCTTGAGAATAATTTGAAAATGTTACACAATTGTCATGAAAAATATGCTATAGATTTTGATGACTCTGATGATGAAGACTCAACCAACAAGTAAAATAATATTATTAAAAAAAGTATCTTTAACTAATTAAAAAAAAATTTCAGTTGTATATATCAAACAAAAAATCCATATAATGATCGTTTATTACCACACATTTTTGGTTCAAAATTATGGAAAGAAAACTGGCATGTGGGTCTATGTGACGGTGCTAATGATTATTCAGGAGATGAAAAATCGGAAGCATTCTCTGATTCTACAAGTTCGCTTGATGACACTATATCATATGAAAGTAATAATGCAAACTTATCGCAATGGGCATCATCTAATTCGGTGAATGACAGTCTCTCCATAAATGTACCAATTCCAAAACCAAGTTTACATGGTCCTACAAATTTATTATCAGAAGAACAACGTTTGCATATTAGGGCTAGACAAGCTGCTGGTAGTAGTGAAAGTAGTTCATCTACATCAAGAAGTTTATCTACTAAGCCGGAAAGTAATGAATATGATTTATTTGCTTCATTGGCAAACACGCAACCATCAGCAATACCTGTATCAATAACAAAAACAACAGCTCAAGAAAGAGAAGCGCGTGTTAATTCAGATCGTTCGCAAAGTTCAAGTCTTAACAGCTCTAACAATACATTGCCAATTAATAATACTCAATATAGCATTACTAAAGAAGATAACATATCAAATGCTACTGCAGAGAAACCTAAAATAACAGCCAATCAAATCAAACGCAAACCTGTGAATTTGTTTGATGATGATGATTTTAATTCGTTAATGACGCAAATTACAGATAAAGCGCAGTCAAAAACTGAAAAAAATGCCCCAATAAAAGCTGCTGCAGGTCAGTTAGCAACTGATATTGAAAGGAGCCTAAAACAAAGACATAAAGATAATGGAAAAGTTGACTTATTTAATAGTCACGACAAAAGCTCAATAAATTTGCCAAGTGATAAAAAAATAGATAAACCACAAGAACAAACACGAAAACGATTAAATTTATTTGATAGTCCTGATATAAGTCCAACAACGGAATCACTTTTTCCACCTACTAACATAGAAGAATCTACTGAGAAATCAAAAACAACAAAGACGAAAATAACTGCAAAATCACTGTTTGATGATGATGATGAAGAAGATGATTTTCTTAATGTATTTGGCACGAAGAAGCCCTCTAAAGATTTACATGCCAAAACATTGTTATTTGTTGATGACCCTAAGGAAGAGAATGATATTTTTGTAAGCAAAGGAAACACTAAAGAAAATAAAAAAGATTTGTTTGAAAAGAAAAAAATAGAACCTAAAGTTACAGAAAAAAGTAAAATTAATAAATTAGATTTATTTGGTGAGAATGATAATGATGAGTTTGAGATAAGTATATCAAAGAAAACTACTTTAACTAAAAAGTCTAATTTATTTGAAGATGATGATGACATAAATAGCGCTATCGATGACCCTTTTCAGAAAACCAATCAAAAGAAAAGCAAATTATTTGTTGATGAATCGGTGACTGATGCTAAAACTAAAGCTTCACATATAACAAAAATAGAGAACTTAAATAGCTCAAAAAAATCTTTATCAACTAATCCAGTTGATATCTTTGCAGAGCCAAATGAAAGCAATACAAAACTTACTCAGTCAGAAAGATATCCAAATTTATTGTCTAAAGAAAATATTGACAGTGGTAGATCGGAACCAAAAATTGTTAATAAAGCGACCATAGATTTGTTTGCGGATGTTGAACAAAACAAAATTATTCCAACCGATGTTTTAGATATAACATCAGATGTTGAAGAACATGAAGCTGTTGAAAACAAAATTGAAAACATTTTCAATATTGAAAAAGATAAAGTAAATACTGAATTTCATAAAAGCAGCAGTAAAGATATTTTGATAAACAAAGAAACTTCCGTTGTACAAAATGAAGAAAGAAAGCAAACAATATCAAACTCCAAAAAAATATTGACTGATTTATTTGAGAGTAATATGGAGGATGATGATTTATTTTTAAAAACACCAAATCAATCTGAAGATACTACGAAAAATAATGCGCAAGTTATTGCAGATAAACCGACAACCTATAGTATTACAAATGATTCTGATAATATTAACGAAAAAACTGCAAATCTGAATAAAAAAATTGAAGATGATTTGTTAGCACCAGTAGATATAAAAAATAATGAAAAATTAAGAACAAATGAATCTACTAACAAACTCACTGCACAACACCAAATTGACGAACCTTCATTGGTTAACAACAGGAATAATAAAAAAATTAAAACAGAAAATGTACCTACAAAATCAACTGAAACTATTTCTCAACCAGTTCTGGAAAATAATGATCCATCATCAATAATTATTGATGATATATATGAAGAAGAAAATCTCCGCAATAAAAATATAAGAGATGATTCCACAAAGTTACCAAATGCTGCAAATAATTATGCTGGTATATTTCTTGATGAGCCCCCAGATGATGATGATTTCTTTCAATCTATTAGCAATAGTAATAAAACAAATATTGCTAATAGCCTTGATTTAGAACATGACTTCTACGAACCCCCCTTGCCACAAACTCCAGCGACTACAATCAATACTACACAAGAAAAATCCGATAGTATTAAAAGATCAAATGATTATAGTGGTTTACATTTATTTAGTGATATTCCACCAGATGATGATGGTATTGCTGATATACCAAACAGTAATGAAACTAAACGTTTACATAGCATATTCTATGATGATTTTTTAGAAACTCAAACTGCAATCAGAAATCCAACATCTATACCAACGCATTCACTATTTGATGATGAACCTCCACCAGATGTTGATATATTTAATAGTCTGGAAAAGCTTGAAGCTACAAAGGAAACAACTAAAATACCAACAGATGTCACTGATCATCAGGGAAGTGCCCAGAGAGAGAAAATTACAATATCAGCAGCTACTCCTATTGACAATAAAATAAATAGCAAAAGAGATCCAATACCAGTAACAACAAAACAAAAAGTAAATACTGATATTGGGCGTAAAACTTCTGTAGTAACAACAAAAAATATTATTGATGATAAATTAAATAACAAAAAGCAGATTAAAACAGATATAACTAATAAGGAAACTTCAAAGCAGTTAAAGTTACAAGGAAAATCAGATTCTGAAAACAATGAAAAGGTACAAAGTACAGAGATAACTCAAGAAAATGTAGTCTCAAAGCTAAAATTGCCCAAAATTAATATAAATGTTCAAGCACTTCTGCCAAATGCTGGCGGTAAACCAAATTTTAAAAAGGCAGCAAATGAAGAGCCTATAACAACACCAACTGCTAAAACGGATAAGAAAGAAACAATACTCGAAACTTCCAATAAGTCTCCAAATTCTGGAAATGAGAAAATATTATCAAGCCTGGTAAAAGATCGTATACGCATACCAGTAAAACGAAAACCATCCACACGTAAAGCACGCCAGGAAAATTATCTGAAATCTGTATTAAACGAAGAAGAACGTGAGGTAACAGGAGAAGATGATTTAAAACCAACTAATAACATTGAACAAAATACTATAAAAGTACAAAGTACCAATACAAAACAAATGGAAGACTCAACAGATATGACAAACAGTATAAAAGCAAACGAACAAACGAAAGAGGTGTTTATTGAACCTCATAGGGAAAAGGTGCTCGATACTCCTACTGGTACTATAGGAAAGACAATAAAACAAAACTCTAATTTATTAGCAACGGAATTTCAACAAAAAATTCAAACTAAATTACGGACGGTAGATATTTTTCAGGATGACAACGATGATGGCAATGATGATTTTCTCTTCAAGCCAACCGAAAAATCAAAACAGCAAAATTCCAGTTATGAAACTACAAAAACCCAAAATCTGTATAATACTGAACAAAACGATTCGACTAAATCAAATAAACCAACAGTTACATCAATGGAAAGTAGTCAAGACGATAATCTATTAAAACTTCCTACAAAAATGTCAACTCATACTGTGAATAGTGCAACAACAACTCATTCACTTTTCGCACAAAGTAATGATCAAAGCAGTGACGATGATTTATTTGATAGCCCAAAGAAGAACACTACAAAACCGTTGCCATCTGCAAAAGTACTAAATACTAAAGTAGATTCAACTCCAAGTTCACAAACTTCCAAATCTTTATTTGGTGATGAAGAAACATATAGCTCAGATGAAAATTTATTTAAGAGTACTAATGAATCAACACGAAAACCTGTCGCTAAAGAATCAGAAAAGGAAATTAAACAAAAAAAGAATTTGCTATTTGAATCTGATGATGAAGATGATGATGACTTTCTCACTGCCATAAAAAAGAGAGATGGTGTCAAACCCAAACCAATCAGTTTAAATCAAGATAAGGGTAAAAATCTTTTTAGTGATATTGAAAGCGATGATGATGATGATCTTTTCAATGCTAAGCCTAATAAAAGTAAGTTTAATTTAAAAGGAAAATAATTTTTAGATCTTTACATACAATTTACGCCTATTGCCTATTTTATTAGTCCAAGAAATTAAACAAAATCGTATACTATAAGCAATACATTTTCAAAAATAATTGAGATTCAGCATGACAAAGATAACTTCATCCAAAAAACTTTTAGTCAGGAAGTACGAATTTTATTTTCATTTGAATAAAATTGATTATTGTACAAATAAATCTAGTTGTAATTTAATCTTGCTTTTGTGACGAAATGGGTCAAACCATTTATACAATAATATTAAAAAGCGACTCCTCCATCTTTTCCATATAACTTATTTAATTTATTCGATCACATAAACACCTCCAAAGTCTATTTACGTAGTTTTGATTTCTATTCATATGCTACAAAAACATTTGACATTTATTATCTAAATATTAGGTCTAGTAAAAGTCATAATTCGCCTCTGACTTGTAGTTTAATATTTTACAACATGGGCTGGCTTCATCTTAGTTCTGGATGATCTCTGTTACTTCTTCTTACATATGGATTCATTGAAATCATCAGTTTGTGTCAATCTTTTCTTATTTGTTTGTTGTCATAATTAATATTCAGTAATTAATATTATTATTATAACATTAAATTATTTTTTTAGAGATATTTTTTTTTTTGATCGTACTGCAAGACAGCTAATGTTCCATTGGTCTGTGCTTAACTTAGAGTCGATGTTTTTAAAAAATATTTTAAAAGAATATGATCCAGTCACTCATATCCCTATAATATTTTAAGTTGATGTTTTTACCATAGTCGCCAAGTTCCAAAGTTCGTCATATATTATCCAGAAAACAGTTCCTTTAACCTATGCATATGATAACAATATGCATGTATACATATGTAATACTATATAATTATTTAAAATTTTTCATAATGTATTGCAGATATTGCTGCTAAACCAACAACTACTAACCCAGCGGCAAAACAAATTACGAGGCAACCACAACTTGCTGGAACTAATACATCGAAAACAAAAACGACATCGCCGGCAGATGATCCTTTGGCAGATCTATTAAATTCCTAGGCACTTGTTACAATTATATATACAATATAAATTGTAAACAGAATTAAACCAGTTATTCTCATTTAAATTATATATATTCTTTATTGTTGAAATTATAAAATTTTATACTAAAATTAAACAATTATTTGTATTGCACATTGTTTTTTTATCTATACATATACACAAATATATTTATATAACAAAAATTATAAGCATTTTAAGCTTCATTAAAAGCATACGGATAGCACCCAAAAAAGTTAGTACTTTTCTCTGCCTTACAATATAAAATATAGGAATATTTTAAATAATAACATTATATTTAAAATAATTTGCTTTAAAACCAAAAAAAGCTTATAGAAATAAATAAATAATGCACTCTTTAGTATTGTTTAGTTGTTATGCAGTGTCTCTCTCTGATCTATAAAAATTGAGTTAGTTTGTTCTTTGGTCGTTGTACGAGCTGTCTTATAAACATAGTATTATCAAAACACAGACTCTTCAAACAAAAATTATTGTAATGTTTTTATAGTACTATTATTATACTATATATAAAAGTAGAAGTACGCGTAAATATATACTATGAGTAAAAAAACTTGACTGTTAAGCTGTTAGCTTTAATTTTGATATTTATCTATCAGCTTCCAGTTATTACACTAAAGCGCTACATCCCGATATTTGCGATAATCGTCAGATTCGTTGCCCAAAGACAACTTGCTATTGGCAGTTATGTATGGATTCGTATAATTAGCATAACCAAAACCACCATAATATTGCAATTGATGTTGAGAATTATGTCGGTGTAGTGGTTGTGCTAAAACAGAGCCTGTAAATGCAGCAGCATTCATGCTACCATGTACTGATGTCGGTCGTCTATATATGTTCACATTGTTCTGCAAAGGATTCAGATAACCACTAAGCATTGCTAAGTAGTACTGTTGTTGTTGTGTATAGTTTTGTAGCATATTGTTATTGCATGAATTTATATCGTTTTGCACCTTCGTAATACCATCCAAATTTTCAAGTGATATACAATTTCTTGCCAATTTTGCTGGTGGTCCTTTTTGTTGTGCGCCACCCATAGAATCGCGTTTATGATGTCGTTGTTGTGGTGGTGTTTGTTTTGGTTCAATTGAGCAATAGATAGGATCATTAACTGAACCAATAATGGAAGGTGTTTGATTTTTGTTTGAATCTTGTATATTATTCTTTAAGTCATCGATAGTTATGTTAAAGTATTTTCCATTCTTATCCTCTGTATCCAACACATAACGTGGATTATACATACCAGGCAAGGTGCAGCGTAAGTCCATCAAAGATTGTGCACGATTTTCTAGAATAAAACGCAATATGCAATTATGGACTAAATACTTTAATATAATAATATCTTACGATTTCTACCAGGAACACTAAATTGTTGCATGTAAGGAGGCACAAATATACTGGCATTGAATTCATTTTGTGATCCAAAAATTGCATTATTATTATTAAACATATTTAAACCCTGAGGTTGGGAACCGCTGATATTAATTTGTGTATTGCCTTCATTTATTTGATAGCCACCATTATCGAAACCTGTGTGATCCATTATGCGTTTACTGGAACGTCGTGAATCTGCTTTTGTTATGGGTACACTAGGTGGTGGTGTTTGAAGTTGTAGACGTGTAGCTAAGTCCTGTAACTGTGAAAGAACTTGAGTTTCACGGCGCCACCTAAATATATAAAAATACATTTATGAATTTAAAATACCCTTAAAAATATAATATTAAAAATATTTTAGACCACAACATGAATAATATATAAAATTAGTGTTATATTAAGGATGCATTATGAAATACTTAAAGTAATAGTTATGTTTATTAAAAATGGAGCAAAATAATGTGGTATACTAGTTTTGATATATAGTATACGAAGACAATATAACTCAAATATTTACATTAAAATAAATAAACGCCAAACTGATGGGGGTAAACATACCGACAGAAGATAATCTATAAAAATAATACTTAAAATCAATAATAATGCTAACTTACAACATTAATATTGCCTAAATGTTAAACTATAAAAAAACAATTGTGAAAAATATAATATATAAATTGATAATTCTATAGTGAGCGTCTCTATTGAACACAAGATTACAACATCTTTTATATTTAAAGTATTTAAAAAAAGTTCTATGCAATGTATGATATTATATTTAGGTGAGGTCAGGCTGGCTGGCGGTATGCCACGCATAGACGTATTATATTAGATTAGGTTAAAATGGCGGTCATGTACTCAAAGCCCACTTAATCTCAAATAATGATCCGTTGTAGACCACAATATAAACGTTTGTATATGCGCAGACTAGAGGTCAGCGTACAAGCAACACAGAAAACACGACTCCTCCATTAGGTGAAAATGAACCAGCTTGACAATTTTATAAACTTGGCTTAGTCGCTAATTTTGCGGGATAATAGCTCGGTAAGAAAAAGGGCCTCAACGATTTAAGATTTTCTACTAATGAAAGATGGACACTGGATCATGGAGTGCAGGTGACTTCTCATCCGCAGACCCACAACCTCAACAAAAGTCATTATAGAGTAGTGACCCGTCAGCACTGAAACCGTAGTGCTAAGCAGATCACGCTTTAGTTGAAGCAGCTGGCTGGTGCGTTTTTAATATAGTTTGGACCAGGTTAATCTAAAGATCTGACAGCATAGACCTATTAGTCCGTAACGATACTAGAAGTAGTTAGATTTGTAGTATATATTTTTGTACGAGTTAAAATTACGCTTAAAGCTTTATATATAAAACAAAGCTAGTTAGTATTTTTAAAAGATTTTTTAAAGCATGTTCGTTTACAAGACCTTAGAGGAATTTGAATTCATAACTTTTTCTATAGAACTAAAGTGAATTATAGTGCGTATTTAGCATTTTACTAACTGACCGATCGTAGTTGATATGTAAATTAGATATAAAAACCTACTAACTTCAATAACTTAGCTGCTTTTATTTGTATTTTTATCATTTTAAGTAAAAATAAATTATTACTATTAATTTATTATGTTCTATTTAAAATAAAAATCTACTAACTTTAATAACTTAGCTGCTTTTATTTATATATTTTTCATTTCAAGTAAAAACAAATTATAACTCTTAATTTATTATGTTCTTAGTAAGTAATCAAAATCGATTAAAGGAGCATGCTGAGCTGAAGAATTGGATAAAATAAATTTCATTTTTGGTTTCATTTCGTTTAAGAATCATTTAATTACTTTCACAACAAACTACTCGTATTATTGTAAAGAAAATTTTCTTAGTGAAGTGATAAAAAATGATGTTAGTGAATGGCACTTTGGCCTTAAATTAACTAGCCTGTGATCTACATTTGCTCCCAATTAGGTCAATTCGTAGAACACAATGAGCTCATCTATCTCTAGCATATGAAATGGTTAATAAGTATTTTGGGTTAGTATGCTTTGTAGTGAGTTAACTGCAACTAATTCTATTATAGAAATTTTAAAGCACATCATGTTTTCATTTAATTTAATATATTATACAGATTTAGATATGAGCAGATTCGATACAGTAAGCAGAAAACCAGTTAAATTTAAATGCAAATTATACACAAGAAAAATAAAATTGCTTCCAGTTTGTTGAAAACGAAGACGAGTTCAGGTTTAGACAATAAATGAGTAAATATTTTCTAAACAAAATTTTACTTTCATTGTTAGCTCAAAGCACGAATGTAAAAGTGGTTTCCCAATACCCAAAAGCCTCAATTAAGATAACTGTGAACATTAAGTGACTTCAACTTCAACTCCAGCTTAAGCTCAAACCCAACCACATCATTAACAGCAACGAGCACAGAGCCACAATGAAGACAATGGGAACAGTTAAAGATGCGAGCTATTGTGTTATGACAAAAATGCTGTACGAATTCTTTTGCTTCTTTTGCTTCTTAACTTACCTCAAACCAGTTGGAATAACACAAATCAAGGCGAAACAATTTATCACCAGCCGTATGAGGTAAGATATCAGTTCAGTCAAGCCGTGTACAGATTGCAGACCCTATACCGCAAAAAAAACAAACAGAAACAAAAAAATTATTTATAATTTTTTATATAAATTATTTATAATTTTTTTCTGCGTGTTCACTGGAATGTATAAAATTATTGACATTTGTTATCTTACCCAATGCTGCGTTGTCATAATCATTACGAATATTAGCTCCGGTATTGATAATAGACCGATTATCACTGACCAAGCGAATAGGCCCCAAGGCAAGCCTGTGACCAAACCATGTATTAAAATTGTTGTGGCGACAAATACAATAAAAAACTGTGTACATAGTATATACGCAGATATTGGCAAGTCGCCACGCGCCTCCAGTATCCACGACACCTCACAGGAGAATGCGCCTAAATAAACAATCTGTCAAAATGTATTAAAAGAAAAAATTGTATAAATTAATAATATTTAAAAAGAAACGGAAATTATTTTATATATATGTTAAAGTCACTAAAAAAAATTGTTTATAAAAACTGAAACCGAACAACAAGGTCATTAACAATAACAACAACAACAATAATAATAACAACAACAACAACAAATCTTTCAAAGATTGAAAAGATTGAATGACAACAAAGAGTTAATACGATCGAATCGGCAATCATTCGATCTATCGTTGAAGTGGACATGAAATTATCGCTTAGCATGAGATGCCATTTTAATTGGCCAACAATTAAAAGATGAAACTCTTGATATTGACGTGAAGAAATTAAGATACTTTTATCGAATTTCACTTTATTTAAAACTGTTTTTACATGACTTCTTGTGTGTACTTCGTGTGTGGGAAGAGCACACTTTTAAAGCTTAGTGATGAAGACAGACCTAATGGTATTGTGAACTAAAGCCAGTAGTATTTGCAAATAATACTAGCATCAAAGATAAAAGACGATTTTACGAATGACTTTACTGAAGGTTTAGCACACATCACAGAGTGTTGTTAACAATTTTAAACTCAATGTTTTGAAACGTTTTAAAACTTTTTATGTTCTGTCATGACTAACAATAAGTAATGAATAGTTTCAAGCCATTACTATCATCAGATAGACGATTTTTCATTTATTCTCAACACTTCTAATAATATTACTTTTTTTTTAAACTCTACAAAACGGTTCAACGAGAGGCAAGTCATTTGAAATCCCGCTAAGATTAAGGCATCAGTAATAGATTTGCATAATTCTAGTGTTATATTTATATAGGCATTTGTAGGTACTCCTTGGATGTTGATGTTTTGAGCCACGAAATTGTATGAAAAGCTGAAACGTTTTAAATAAAATTTACTAAAGATACTTATTTTAAATATTATTCACATAAATCACATACTAAATTTTATTTAAATATCTTCAGATTATTAAGTGATTGAATATAGTTTCAACTGATATTGACCATTCTAACAACAGGAACTTCTAACATGTTCCATTTCTAAAAGATGTATTATAAATTTAATAATTTTTTTTTTCAAATTATTTATTTTATTAAAATGTTAAAGAGTTTTTGAATTTTTCTTGACTGCATTACAAGGTTTTTGACAAACTTATAAGACCAATTTCAGACTTTATATAAAGAGTATAACAAAAAGTAAATAGGAAATCTTTCATAAAATAAGAAAGATTCATTTTATATTATATAAAAATATATTTATATATTATATTTTATATATATAAAATGAAATTATGGTATGTAATATATATAAAAATAAGTTACCTTCTATTCTATTTATAAAAAAAAAATTATTAATAAAAATGAAATTAATGGGACAATCCATTGTCATGAAGTGCTGAAGTCATACTTGAAAGTTGGTGATTCAATCCCAATCCTACTTCGTAATACGAAGTTCGTATTTTACTTCAAAATGCAGTTTAGCTAAACTCTTTGTATGACTAAGAAAATCTTTCTTTCAATGATAAATTCTTAAAAAATTATATATTTTTTATATTATTTAAGTATATAATTATATATACTTCAAGAAAGTGATTATTAAAAAAATATAAAATAGTATTATCAGAATTTAAAAAAAATATGTATAGAAAAATAATCAAAAATTTGCAGAATAAAAAGGCTTAACTTACTAAGGTTAATAATATTAATATAATAATAAATTTTATTTAAATAATATTTTAGGCAACTGACCCATATTTAAATAGGAACAGCAAGAAATGAATGCCAGTTAAAATATGCATTCGTTTTGTTTTTGTGCCGAATACTTGCACAAAAAGATACAAATCTCTCAAACCACTTTTTAAACTACTCTTCTCACTGCTACTGACAATCGTCATAAAAAAAATAACTAATATAAGTGGACATATTGAATAGAACAGTTAATTAATATGACTGAATAGAGGTATAATTGAAAAATGTTGTTTGAGTAATATATGAAAAAAATACTTATAGAAGATATAGGTTCTAATCTACTGCAGTAGATAATATAAAATGTTTATAAAATATTTATTTTAATTTTGACCAAGCTAGAATTAAGACATTTCTTGCATTTAAAAATTTGGTTCATTTTGTATAATGAGCAATTTTCATATAATGAACATATAAAGTAGCTTTTAAAAGTCTTCATTCCCCATACAAAAATCAATTATTTGCGATATGGGATCATCCAGGTATTGATAAAGCAGTGTAACTGCTTTCATGTACCACAAAAATATTCATAATTTGAAACTAAATACTTGAAATAATTATAAAAAGTCACTATTTAAATTTTTTTCACTGGTTATGGATCAGACTATCACTTGGACATATACACCAACTATTGAAACAGACGTGAATTGATATTATTTGCGAATATTAATGTCGATATTCATTGTATACAATATTTTGACGATTGTTTGACACATGAATCGTTTTGTTAATGGATCGTACCAAAAAGTTTATATTTTATGCAGAAAAAGAAGTTGCAAAGGTAATCCATTGTGAGAATATATAAGATAACTATTATTACTATATCTTGGAAATTATAATATTTAAGGTCCTTTTTAATATGAAAGTTGCTTATGTAAGTTGTAGAGTAGAAAAGTTATGTTGTCTTACGACATTTAAAAAAAAAGTAGAAATCTTATCACTGACAGCTTTCCAATTTTGGACATATCCCATTAGTTCGTTATTCGTTTAGAAGAGAAGAGAACTGATGGGAATGGATAAGTTAGGTTGGAGTGAGGGTCTTATACCCAAAGCTCACTTTAGCTCAAAAAAATACCCGTTGTAGTACCACAGAATTAACGTTTATACATGCGCCGACTAGAGGTCGGTGTAAGAGCAACGCGGAAAGGTACGCCACCCTTATTAGGTAAAGATAAACAACCTGATAATTCTATAAAATTGGCTAAATCCGACGTTTCACAAGATGTCAGCCATGTTATGTCGGCTATTTATATATTACCGAATATTTTAGATCTTGTTCTAGTCAAATTGGACTCTGACACATGATGTGGAGCACAATTTCCTCTTCATCCGCAGACTTACAACCTCGACAAAAATTATTATAAGTTAGACACAGTTTCATAGCATGTCTATTTAGTATCCATTGAGCGTCTCAGTCAGCACCGATACCATAGTACTGAGCAGGTTAGGCCTTAGTTAAAGCAACTGACTGGTGCGTTTTTTGTCTACTTTAAACCAAATTAATCTGGAGATCTGATAAAATAAGATCTGCCCAATCTTGCTTGGCAATACTCAAATATATTTGTTTGATTGCAAGTTTAACTAGTGAGAATTAAAAATCCTTCTTTATACTTCTATGCACTGTTCTGTAAATATCAAATTGTGTGCCCCTAGAGAACGTCGAGAGGGATGATTATCTGAACAGTTTTCAGCTAACTAATAAGAGATATTTTGAACATTTGGAGGTCCGACCCATTTGGCTTCCTTACAATAAGACCAGGTCGGGGAAACCTTATAACAGAAACCGAGTCTATACTGCTAGGTTAGTTGCAGTGATTTGGAGTCATTGGTATATGGAACCCACGCAAACAAAGTGCGCATTCCACTCAACTTGATTGCATACTTTTTTTGTGACTGTCCAGCTTTAACTAACAGAATGAATAGATTTTTAGGGAAGCACTTAATTGACAACCAATCAGACTTTAAATCAATACTAACAAAAATCTGTTTAACATGATGGTTCAAGAGTATCTATACAGATTTCATTGTATAATAAATCCGGAAAATCACTAAATATAAAAAACAGTCTCTACAACTAAACAAACAGCTTCTCATTATTTTGCACTGTAAGACTTTGTGTAAAGGTGTCAAGTCTAGAAATGCCTAAATGGCAACTGGCGCCTAATTTCATTGCACTCGTAATGTTCAGAGCAAGCCAGTCTCTGAAATTTACTTAATGACTTTTGCGCAATAATTTGCTTGATTTTTGCTTACCATAAGAGCAAACCTCTTAGCAAGAGCTCCATAATAAAGATTTTTATGCGTAAATGATAGTGGGCCAATTATGGTTTTTGCGAGCATATTTTATAGGAGATTAATAAATGTTAAGCTTAAAAAGTATTTAGTATAAGTAATTTTAAGTTATTAATTTTAAGTAATTTTTTGTACATTTGAAATTGTAAAAAAAAAATTGTGTATGTAAAGTTGACCTAATTACTCGTATAATTTTTTTTGATCCTCTATAAAATTTATAATTTAATAATTATTATTTCAATCAGAAATTGTATACTAATATTTAAGACATATATTAAGTGTTCACCTTTATTTATTATAAAAAGGTATTACTTTTTTAAATTGCTGTTTAAAACACTAACAAACTATCTTTTATAATTATAAAAGTTCTACATTACTAATTCAATAAGCAACATTAGGCACGATTACGATTTCTGAGGCCCCATCCTTTGATTACAATTCTAAGCAAATTTTTTCTCTACTACATAAGAAGCATCAACAACTACATTTATTGTTGTTAATCAATATAAATTTTATATATTATGTACCATGAGATAGAAATATCAAATTTAAAGTTCCATTTCTCACAAGTCAATGATATCTTGACATTCCGTCGTAGTGAAATTTACCCAATTTGGTAATATCTTTCGTAAAATCACGACACCTAAGAAATCGCAGTTTTGACCAAAAGAGTACCCATGGTGAAGTTTGTTAACAGTAAACCATCTATGGAATTTATGGATTTTACTTGATAAGTGACTCTGAGGGGCATTTCCCACCTTTGTTATCTTTTTTACTCATCACTACTGGCTTACTGCATAAAATAAAAAGAACAGCCTCCTTGACGTTATTGATTTTGTGTAAAAGTAAGGAATATATATTCCATTTTAAGACCTATGAATTCATTTAAGATCAAACTAAACTACTCTTATGTTCAGCCTTTTTCGAGTTAATGCATCTGAGCACTTTTACTCTTTGATAACTGGGGGGTTTCTGCAGAGTCCCACCATTCTCACTAACTAATTTATGTATTCCTCAAACACTATATAAGAAACATCAACAACTATATTACTGGCTTATCACTGCACGAAATGAGAAGAAGAGCCTCCTTCACGTTATTGATTTTGAGTAAAAGTAAGTAGGACTATAAATTTCAATTCAAGGCATAAGAATTGATTTAAGATTATACTAAACTAATCTACTAAATAAGTAACATCAATACCTAAATTACTAGCTTATCACTGTATAAAAAGAGCCTCCTTTATTCTTTTGGAATATATACTTCAATTTAAGGCTTAAGAATTAAAGATAATACTAAGCTAAATAGAGTTAATAAGATGGTGTAGAAAATATCAAAAGTTTGCGTTAAAGGTGCATGAATTTAAAAATTCTTTAAATATATAATATAACATAATATAAATAGATTCTTCCTATTAAACGCAAACTTGAAAGATCTGATAACAAATATGCATTTCATGCAGAACTTTTAATCTGATAGTATTCAATATATAGTACATAGTATATATAGTATTATTATAGTATATATATATATATATATATATATATATATAATATATATATAATATATATATATATATATAGCATAGTATATATAATATAATATAGTATATATTCAATATAAATGTGGTAAAAATTGTATAATTCTTAAAACATTTTCGTTTGTTTTTTTTAATAAAATAAGACATTACTTACCAAAAGTAGACCCGCAGCCACACAGCAGATAATAAATAAATTTGCTTTTATAAATCGCTCCATTATGCGGTCATTCCAGAAACTCTTCACGCTATTTTTTTGCGTTTCACTGGCTTTTTCATAATTCATTTTAATGTCCGCGAATTCAATGGAAGAGAGAAAAGTTATACCCAATTAAAATCAACTTCAATCTAAACGATTTTTTTTATTTTTCCAAGCACCGTTTCTTTTAGTTGTGGATGAGTATAGAATTTTGTGCGAACAGGTGTTAAGGTTCTGTATTATTTATGGTCTCGACGCCTTATTCTTATGTTAAATTTGACCAAATTCTTTTCGGCCGCAATTCAATTAAAGCAGGTTAGTTTGATGTTTGGTGTTTCTTCGTAACGTATTTCTATTATTATTATTATTATTATATTATTTTTTTACTTTTGTTGTTAAAAACCAATAAAAAATATGTTTGTTTATGATGTAGTTAAGCTGATTAAATACATTATTTGTATGCATGAAGTCAGTTTGTGGATGTATGTTCGTATGTAAGAGAAGCCGCTACCCGCTGCCTTAGTATGTCTGTTAAAATCTAGAATTGATTTTTTTTAGAAAATAAATTTATTAATAGAATTTAATTAGGTTGTTTCAGTTTAAATAAAGAAGTTTATTTTGTATTTTGTAAAAAAATAACATTTATTTATTACGGAAACGAGCGAGATCTTAAGAAGAATTTGAATAGCTACTTTCAAAATTATTTAAATAAATTTAAAGTTGTTTTATTAACCGTTATTGATACGCTCACTGACAGTGCAACCAGAAATTGGGTTAAATTTAGGCCTTTACATCTATTTATTTCATTTTTCAAATTTATGTTAAAATACTTTTTTTTATTTTTTAAAAACGGTTTTTATACAATGCGTAGAAAGCGAATACAAGAATCCGTCAAATGGCAACAGGCAATAGGCGATGCCAATATTTAAATTTATAACAGTTAATGTATGTGTTTTCATTTCATACAAAATAAATTACCCGAATATAATTAATCTGTGATTTCAAATATATATCATATGTATGTATTTACCGAACAGCCGGGTCGTCTATGCATTGGTCTATGGACTACAACAGCATTGTTAAATCAATTGGTCTACGATTCGATCATATAATTGATTATTTAATAATAAGTAAGTAATTTTATATATTATATTTATATTATATTATTATATTATATTATATTATATATTATAAATTATATATATATATATATATATTATATATATATATATTATATATATATATATTTATATGTATATATACTTCAAGTACCATATTTTTTAAACTTAAAATATATTATTTAGAGATGAAGTAAAATTGTTTAAAATTACTTAATAAATCATTCCGACCTATGCTACCATCTTATCAAAAAATATCTTTTTGACTTAAGACAATACCATCACTGTCTATAAAAAATTTTTTAACATGTGATTGCTATGAATCCTGAACAAGGTACTGAATTCTTACTACTTTTATAAAACAGAATCTTGTCAACAAACGACATACTCGTTTTAATTTTGTTTTTTTTTTGATATTGGAAACTTCTATTTTTGTTGTTCGTTTATTACCATCCATACTCTTATGAATAAAAGATGTATTTTATATTTGTCAAAAATATTGTAATGTAGTAACAGACTTCTGCTATACTACATTGTACTTCATTACAATATCTTGACAAATATAATACATAACATTACGAATAGTATAATAAATAACTGACTAGGACATGCCGTCTCCTGATCAGCGCGAAGTGAATACTTATTCCAACGATGTATTTTAATCCATTTATGTAAAGGTTAAACAATTATTTTAGTTTCCGAGCTATTCTTTTACCCGGCTATCTGTTAACAAACCGGCAAACGAATTTTTCAGTTTTAGAACTAATAAAATTACATTGCATAGAATTTTTTATGATTTGAGGTACATCAATTTAAGAAATGGATAAGGACTAGATAATAATATACTGTATATATTTATATGTACAAAGATTTTCTACATAAATTTAAAGTGAATTTGTTTTCTTAACCATTTTTGGGGAATTAATTAATTATTAATTCTTAATCTCGCCCTGTTTTATTCTTTTTAGCATTGAAAACACTTCTCCCGTTATTCTTGTGCAGTTAGAAGGCACTTTAAGTAGAACCTTTACGAAATGTTATCAGATTGAATCAATACTTAAGAGCATAGAATATAAGCTCTTCGAGAATTCCTGAGACTTCTAAAGGCTTATGGCAGTCCAATCAAACTTGTGTTTGTTATATACTAGGCAAGATGGATGGACTTCAGATGGACTTCAGCCCATCTAATGTGCCCGTGCCCTGCGATAGCCAGAAAATGTTCATTTTTATTTTCTATTATTTTCTATTTTTTATTATGTTGAAGCTATTTGAGCCAGTGCACTTGAGCACTTTTACTCTCTATTAACTCGAGGTAAATTCGAAACCCCTCTTTACGCCTTGACTGGATTATTGTTCATCACTTCATCAGACTATGCAATAATTGACCTCAGATCAGATCTATAAAAAAATATAGAATTATATTTTTCATACTTAACTTTTCTTGTTTTAATGGTTGTAGAGCATTTAAAATTATATTAAAAGCCAGCTTCTTGACCCTTATATTCTATAACCTAGTGTATCTTTTGTCAAAAGTTAGACATAATTATTTAACACTGTCCTTCCATTATTTGAGTGTCTCAGAAAGAATTATATATACTTATAATCGAAAGAAACTAAAATAATAGCTAATAAAAAAACCTAAAAAAAATTTAATAAGGTTAAATAAACTTAACATAATAAAAGCCTTAGTAATATAATAAAATATTTTATTAAAATTATAAATATAGTTAAGATTTTATAATAATTTTTATTTATTTTATAAACGTTTAAAATTAAATATTTGTTTAATATTTTTTAATATATTCTATATTTCGACTCTCCTCGAAAGTCATCATCAGGATCTGAATCTAAAATTAATAATCATAAATAAATATTAATAAAATCTATATACAAACGTCATGTGCTTGATTCTGTTGTCTATATTATGTTGTTAAGATTTTATTTATTAAAAAATGCGCGGTGAAGTCAATATAAGAAATGTGACTTTGATATACAAAATATCTTAGTATATTTATAAATAAATTATGCTAATTATTATTATAAGTAATGCGTTATCTAAAATCCAAAAAGTGCCACTTCTGCCTCCATAAATAACTTAATTGAACATAAATATTGTGACAGAAATAAATATATAAACATAATCTTTAAACGTCAACTAACTTTAATTATTATTTAAAATGACGGGAATTTGGGTTTGGTGAGTAAATTTCCATATTAGCAGAACTGAAAACAAAATGGAAATTTTCACCTTCATAATTACATGCAATTAAATTATTATAATTAAAGATTAGTGCATCAAATATTGCGCATGTGATGCGCACTTAAGTAAGCGTTTGGGTGCAATTAAATTCACATTAACTAAATTTGACCCTGATACTGGTTTCGTAGGTTGTTCTTGCAACGCATATTTGACACACTCCTTATAATTCAGCCTACAATAAACTAAGCAATTTGCATAAATTTCGTTAAATTCCGAATATAAAGTTCATCGCGATTTAAGTTGAAACTCGACAGATATCTGCTCGAATCAAGGTGCGCATGCGCCTAATACGAATATATCGCGTCAAACAACATCAATATTATGTCATAAATGTATATATCACATAAACGCATGTAAATTAGGTAAACAAATAAAAAATATTACAAAAACTTACAAGTGAACGTCCAAACACACATATCTATAAACAAACAATTTGCGATTATAAGTGAAGAGGCTTTTGGTATTAACAACATTATCAAATGCTGTCATCAATGAGTCAATCGCCTCCAACTTACCCATAAACAATAGCAATTACTGGCAAGTGCTTCTGCTCTTTGTTGAGCTACAAACAAATGCAGGTGTGTTTATTTAATGGGATATATTTTGGAATAACACATTATTTGTATGTGAAAAAAAAATATTTTATACATAAATAAATAAAAATACTAGCCATCGTCATAAAACAATCTACAGAATTAAGTGTCCATAATTAAATTTTTTGGTACACTAACCATATAGTATCTATGTAGGACGTGTCATATTCTTAAGTGCTTAATAAAATAGCTGTGTTCATTGTAACATGTACAATATTATGTACCCATCAGTTGATTGACTATAAAATTAATTTTAGTTGCAAGCCATTTGCCATGCCATTTTGCAGTTATGTTTCCTAATAAAAATTGTTACACACATTAAATGCACCGGAAATTTCATTTTCCATTTATAAACACGAATAAATAAGCATAAAGGCTTTTAAACGAAAACTTATATGAATAATATTTATTTCAATAACTACACCTATACGGCTATGGTACAATAAAAAATAACTAAATTAAAAGTGCTAAAACTGGAAAGAATCATTGGTATATACAGAGACTCATTTACGCAGAGTAGAATTACCTCTCCTAAATAAGTTCAAAGTTTAATTGAAAACATATTATTACATATTATTGTAAAAAAATTCATTAAATCTAATGTAAAATAACCCGTGTCCCTCTTCTCCTCACTCTTTCTTTTATTAAGTATTCCTTAATAAATCTGTCTCTTCCTCTTCTTCGATTTTTCAATGGTTTTAAATTTTATTTGGATCTGTTAAATTTATATTTGCAAATTGTTAAATTGAGATTTTATTGGGTTAATAAAAACTTTTTATTTTAAAAGAAATCCTTAGAAAAATACCAGTTACAAGATAAATTTTAAAAATCCTTCTTTTTGACAGCAAAGAAGAAGAATGTGGAAAAGGATGGCCAGTGGTGCCCAACCGGTGGTACGCGAGATGTTAGTTAATGATAGTTAATGAATCAAATTTAACAGATATGTATACAAAGCTTGTAGTTTATCCATTGAAACCTCAGTTCTTAGAAAATGAGCACAAAAATCTCCAAGTATTTACATATCTATTCATAGCCTACATGCACTTATGCACTTATACAATTCATTATACATTTGGCCAGAGATGCATAAAGCATATTAAAAACATCATACAGTTTTATTATTCTTAAACTATTATGATTATTCTTAAAACTTCTGAAAACAGAAAGATCGTAATTATTAAACTAAATTTAAGGTAATCGAGTTCAATTTGTTATTAAATTTATTTTCTTATCATTAATATCGCTGCATTACTTTCGTCTAAACAGAATTGATGTGTGATATAATTTGCGAAATGTTTTATATCTAATTTATAGCATGAGTTCATATTTTACCTAGAACTTATTTATTTACCTCGGACTTTATAAGATTTTCGAAATTCATAGAAAATCAGAGAAATCAAAAATCACAGCTACACTACGAAATTTAATCGAAAAGATTAAAATTTGTAAATTTCAAAATTTAAGAAATTTCAAAAGTTAATTATAAAGAGGTTTCGAACAGTGGTGAATAGAACAACAAATTTTTTTATTATTTTAATTAATTGAGCTTTTGGATGACCATACAGCT